TAAAAGTACAATCACACACGGTGAAATCAGATACAGATTTAGATGGTACTTGTGAACGTTTGAATCAGGTTTCTTACTATTTGATCATGTAATTGTATTGAAAATTGTTGAGATGGATTATGTGCACGTCTTGCTAAATAATTTGACAAGCTAGTTTTTTTTTTTTTTTATTTATTTTTTTTTTTAAAGTTAAATTATTCCGAATCGTTGCCCAATTAGAACAGCAATTAACCGAGTGAGCTGTGGTTTTATTCACTTAGATTTTTAATTTGCTATTGAATATTGAACGAGACAGCACAAGCGGGATGGCCAGGTCCTTGCTGGTACAACCAGCCCGTACAAAAACCTCACGCATTTGTCCTGTGCTGTAATGCTCAATGTACTTACAATTCAACTAGAACATAAGCCAGCATAGAGGGACGGAAGCCTGAAATTGTTTACTGATGGAGCTATTTCAAGTAAATATCTGACATTTCAAGTTATTTTGTCCAATCAGTGTAGGTTATTTCTATATTTACTATATTGACCAATCAGAGTTTTTCGAAAAATCCACGTGACAGTACGGACTAATCAGAGCCAGTTATGGAAACATCCACGTGATAACAATGACCAATAAGAACCGGTTATTAATACATCCACGTGACCATATTGACCGAGAAGAGTAGGGTCTGAATGTATCAAGCTAAGGCGCCTTTTGGACGGCGATGATCAAAATGCTGAGGGGGACGGGGACTGACCAGACCCTCAAAGTACCAGGAGAATAATAGCCCCCCCCCAGTTGGTCCCTGGTGCCTGGCCATCATATCGATACCACGTTGTGATAACGGTTCCAAATAGGTCAATGCTATCTCCTGATACGTCACTTCTGGTGAGGGGGGGGGGAAGGGGGTGGACGGCTGGGAGGGTCAGACATATGATGACCAGGGGATAAAGGGTCAAGTCAAACGAGAGGGTAGCATTTCGACAAGATCAGTGCGCATTTAACAATAATGGGGGGGGGGGGTCGGATATTGTAAAGGGGGCATTATATCGCGATCATGGTACTCATTATTCAGAATATTATTAATTAAGCTGAGGATGAGCCTGGCTTAAACATTACCACCAGACGGACTGTGTTTCATTGAACCCACAGATGGGGGGGGGGGGGGGTTTGGGTTGCAATAAAATCTGAGGAGGGGTTGGGTTCACGCTGATTATAACTAACCCTAGATTTATATCAGTCGTCTGGGACTTGATACTCTTGTTAATCATCTCCATAGCAACACCCCCCCCCCCCCCCACCTACATTAGTAGAATGATAGTAGTTAAACAAAGGTCAAGGTGAGTCACCGATATATCCGCTAACACCCTCGGTGAACTTCCCGTGAACCGTGATGGTGCGGCGATTCGAAATGTTGAAACAGCCAATAAAGGCGAAACAAGAAGCAAGAAACGGAAGAAATAACCACAGACCACGGCTAGTCGCGGTCACTAAATTAGAATCGATAAAATAAATCAATGCACACTCAATTCGTCGTGGGTTGAACACTGCGGAATGCGTACTTCGTTAAAAAAACTCAATTGGTCTTCTTTTTTTTTTTTTTTTTTAATACGCGGCGAAGAATTGCTTTAGTTCCTAATAAAATTAACTGCGATTTTTTAAATGTTTATTTTTTTATATTTTTTTTTTACATTTTCTTAAACAACTTTTTAGCTCTTTAAAAAAGTTAGAAGAATATGGGATCGTGAGGTCGCTATTTACTATCATTCCCAATAAAACCACGGATTATTTGAAGGTTTAACACCCCAAGTGTTACATTAAGAAAAGGTTAAGAGAGAGAGAGTAAGAAAAACTAAACCATGTAACAAAACAGAGACAGAAGCGACAGTGTGAACACGAGATGACCTCTGACCTTGCTTATCTTCCTCGTGCTGTTTCTCGATGGCACCAATCGCCTCCTGTATGGGGTCATTGACCAGCTCGTTCTCCATCAGCTCCTGCTGGGCGAAGTCGTAGTCGATCTTCTGCTCCGGCTCCTGGCTGCTCGGGCCTGTGGGGGGGGGGGGAGGGAAACATGGAGGTTAGAGGGTTTTCATATGCATATAAGTAAGTTATGGACAAAAGGGGGGGGGGGGGGGGGGAGAGAAACACGGAGGTTATAGGGTTTTCATAGGCATATAAGTAAGTTATAGACACTAGGGATAAAGAGACATTAACTGAGTTGAAGCCATTTTATCAAGCAGTTTTTAAACATAACCTGTTCTTTCATAGACCAGTGGATGGCCCATCGACCGGACAGATGGCCAATGTACTGGTCAAATGGCCGTTAGACCGGTCAGATGGCCAATGTACTAGTCCGATGACCGTTAGACCGGTCAGATGGCCAATGTACTGTACTAGTCCGATGGCCGTTAGACCGATCAGATGGCCAATGTACTAGTCCGATGGCCGGTCAGATGGCCAATGAACTTTTCCGATGGCCGTTAGACTGGTTAGGTGGCCAATGTACTAGTCCGATGGCCGTTAGACCGGTCAGATGGCCAATGTACTGTACTAGCCCGATGGCCGTTAGACCGGACAGATGGCCTATGTACCAGTCCGATGGCCAGTCAGATGGCCAATGGACCGTCCATATGGCCGATAGATCGGTCACTAGACCATTAAAGAGCATCCACCACAGACAAGCTGTAACTACCCCCCCCCCCCTCCCCCCATAATGTTGAGATGTTTTTTATAGCCCCTTCAACAACCGCCAGCCTTGTTTGGGGGTGAAGGGATGGTGGGGGTGGCGGGAGTTTCCCTTCTCTATTGATCGCGCTTTTTGCGCAGCAATGTCCAACAGATTAAAATGTAGCGCTAACAAAGCGCAGTTTCAGCACGGGTCTATTTTAGTAAACACTACTACTAATGAGGGCTGTTTTTATGGGACGCACGGGGGAGGGGGGGGGGGGGGGGGTGATGGTAGGGAGAAGGTAGCGCGCCCTGAAAAAAAATCCGTGTAATGGGTTAATTCAAGTAGATCTAGATGTGAACATAAACATCTCTCAAGGGCTATAGAAAATATTTTTAATTGCCGTCAACATTATTAGGCTTTTATGTCTACACGAAATGTCACATGTATAAAATTAGAAGAAAAGGAGGGGTTGGAGGGTTGTCAAGTTTATAACAAGAGGTTGGTGGGGTAGTCTAATAGAACGTGTAACCTTGTATTTATAATGCAAACATATATATTATAGGAATAATCAGGAAAAAATGATTGAGGTAGGCGTGGTCGGGTAGGTAAAGCTCATAGATGTTAAACCGAAAAGTCAGAGTTCGAACCCACGGGCAGATGAGGATCGATAGCTGGGGATAGCAACTCTTCTAGGAGAAAAAAAAACCTAAACAAATAGTACAACTGCTGCCTTGAAGTTTGTTCTTAGTTGGACGAAGGATATGGAAGCAAGTGCAAAAAGAAAAGCAGTCTGAATCGGAGTGAACGGTCTGTATGGCGCATAACAAATTGACACGTAATACTTAATTGTATTGGGGGTGGGGGGAGAATTCCAACAATGCAACTGAAAATGAAGAAGATCAATGATTGTTGCTTAACCACTTTTAAAACTACATCCAGACAAATTTTATGTAAACAGCTAAAGACCATCTCTTACTCCAGTAAACCAGCTCACTAATTAAACAACAACCCACATTCATCAGCAGAGAAGGACGAAGTCTGATAATGAAATGGATGTTTAACAACACAGAACATAATGATTCCCCAACAGCACTCGGGGTTATGGAAGGGCGTTAGAATACTTAAATAAACAAGTCCAAACAAAAAAATCTTCCGCGTATGTGCAGGATATTATGCGAGATAAAAATAGGCCGGGGAATACGGGCCATGTGCCCCCCCCCCCTTCCACCCCAAGGGATCAATATGGCCAACTTGATTAGGAGAGAACCGCTAAGCGCACTTTATTAGCCTTATAAGATGTGGAACACAGGATTGCGTATATTATCTTCATAAACACACATTGGGGTGGCTGTTTGCTGCCAAGCGGCGGGCCCACCGTCGGCCAAATCAAATATGGCGCGCGCGAGCCAACGATTGAAAGCGAGGTTGGACAGGAAGTGCAAATAAAGATAGATGGAAACTCATGAGCCGGGAAATCAAAGTTAAACATATTGGTCGCCATCTTTTTTTAAAGCCTTGATTTCAGTTCATCAAAAGCGATTCCAGACAGATATAGGAGAGAAAAAGCTGTGCCAATCTGATATGAAAAAATTTCCAATAAGTTAAAATATCTTCCAGCTAGATTGGCCAGCATCTCAGAAATGCTCCAAAACAGGTTGAGAGATTTATAACCGGCGTTTGCTTGTAATTGAGTGCATCGTAGAAGAACGTTAGCCTCTAATGCGTTCGGCTGTCTTGGTCATATACTGCTGCCATATTTGGTGGGAATTTAAGGTACAGAACTGCACACAGATAGAAGATGGAAAGAAGACAGAAGTCGCTTCCAGATGAAATTACGGACCAAAGATGTTGGGGGGTGGGGGGTGGGGAAGAAAAGGGATGTTAAGAAGGGTGGGGGTAGAGACAAATTGCCAGAATGCCCCATGGGTGGCAGAATGACCTAAAGGTGGCAGAATGGACCGTGGGTTGCAGAATGACCTGTGGATGGCAGTATGGCCCGTGGGTAGCAGAATGACCCAAACCATCGGCTACGTACCGTTGTGTGTCAACATAGGCCCAGCGTGGATGCAACCAGTACGGGTAAGTGAAGCTCCATCAAGCGATGTAAAATGTCAACAACGACAATCACACACGCAGGAGATGAAACCAACGCTTCAGTTAAATAATACTGCTACCAGTGCTGCTAGCAGCATTTATCGAAAGTGTTGTTAAGCAATTTTCCTATAAACAGAACACTGAAGCATAGACGCACACTTAAACATAATAAATGGTATAAACAATTTTTAAAAATCTGAAACGCAATGACCAGAATTAGAAGCACTACAACCAAGACAAACCAGGCCATCTTTAAATGCCTTGAGAAGCTGTACAACCAAGAAAAACAGCATTTTATTAAACGCCCACACAGAAATTGAACAAAAATAAAGACATTGACGGATAGTTTTTAAGTCCAGCAGCAAAATAAAAACATACTCTTAGACAAGCAGCACATGCTATTTCTATAGCTAGAACACTTATGACAAGTGAATCCGTTTTACTAGTCGTAGATTGAATTATTCGTTTATTTCTATTTTCTATTTCTATAGAATATTGACGTCATTACTACGAATGAGAACAAGATTCGTGGAATATTTAAGTAACTAAGACCAGAATATGACATCTCATCCAATCATGGCATATTGATGCCATTAAGACGTGAATCTGAGACATCACCGAATCATGGAATACTGATGCCACTGTCGTGAATCTGAGATCCCTACGACCCATGGAATATTGATGCCATTAAGCCCAGAATCTGAGATATGTACGACCCATGGAATATTGATGCCATTAAGCCCAGAATCTGAGATCCCTACGACCCATGGAATATTGATGCCATTAAGCCCAGAATCTGAGATCTGTACGACCCATGGAATATTGATGCCATTAAGCCCAGAGTCTGAGTTCTCTACGACCCATGGAATATTGATGCCATTAAGCCCAGAATCTGAGTTCTCTACGACCCATGGAATATTGATGCCATTAAGCCCAGAATCTGAGATCTGTACGACACATGGAATATTGATGCCATTAAGCCCAGAATCTGATTTCTCTACGACCCATGGAATATTGATGCCATTAAGCCCAGAATCTGAGATCTCGCCACATTGTGGTTTCCTAAAAAAAACATGTTTACTCATCGCTCCAAGAATTACGTAGGCGGGGTAGGGGAAGACAATCAATTCGCGTGTACGAGTTGTTTTTTCTTTTCACATCTCAGAAAGCAGAGAACTATAGTGGACACAATGTGTTCTAACATAATGACTCCGTGTGTGTTAGTTCACATGTCCGTCACAGTCAGCAAATTTAGTTCATCAATCCTCTAAACACCCCTACAGTCTAACCCACCCCTATAAACACCCATGTTGTCTAACCCACCCCTCAAAACACCCCTGTTGTCTAACCCACCCCTCTAAACACCCCTGTTGTCCAATCCCCCCTTATAAACACCCCTTTGTCTAACCCACCCCTGCTGTCTAACCCACCTCTCTAAACACCCCTGTTGTCTAACCCACCCCTCTAAACACCTCTGTTGTCTAACCCACCCCTCTAAACACCTCTGTTGTATAACCCACCCCTCTAAACACCCCCGTTGTCTAACCTACCCCTGTTTCTAACCTACCCTTGTATAACCCACCCCTCTAAACACCCCTTTGTCTAACCCCTCCCTCTAAACACCCCTGCTGTCTAACCCACCTCTCTAAACACCCCTGCTGTCTAACCCACCCCTCTAAACACCCCTTTGTCTAACCCATCCCTCTAAACACCCCTGCTGTCTAACCCACCTCTCTAAACACCCCTGCTGTTTAACCCACCCCTTTAAACACAGCTTCACGTACCCCCACCCCACCGGGTGCCCCACTATTCCTCGACTAATCACGTGCAGCCCTACAGGGTTAAAGAGAAATGACTAGAATTAAAAGTACACCGGCCTGTCAGGGGTTAACCATCGGGGTTGTCAGGTAAAGATTGATTTTTTTGTCTTCATTTAATTAAACCATTCTCTGGACTCAGATGTATTCACGCACGGGGCAGTGGGGGACTCGTGTGTGTGTGTGTGGGGGGGGGGGGGGTATGTGGGGAGGGGGGTTAGAACCATCTGACGTGGCAGTACGATGACCATCATCACACTGGCAGCATGTCAATCATTTGTCAGTGACAGTACCATCATCTGTAAGTGACAGTACCCCCCATCATCTGTCAGCGATGTAAAGCATTACGCCAACTTGTACAGTATTAGACTTGTGAAAAGTCTAACGACTGTCACTGTAATCTGGATCACTCAGCAGTTTGTTGCCCGTCATATAGGGATGTGACTAGAAATGGTGACTAACAACATCACTAAACATTACTTGCCCCTCAATGTACGGATGTGTCTAGCACTGGTAACTTACAACATAACTCAACATTGGAGCACATTGCAGGTGTCGGATGAGACCAACCCCCCCCCCCCCCCCCCCCCCCTGTCACGGACAAACCCCACCCCCTTCCAACACACACACACAGAAGAAGGTAACTATGACGACAAATGTTTAATCTCACAATACCTAACCATCGTACAAGAAAAAGCACAATCAACAACATGAACATACAACACATCACACGGTGCTGGTAGTGAACGATTCAAAAACACCATCAGGCAAATCTGTATTTAACCCCCCTCCCTCCCTCTACACCCCCCCATGCTACGTGAAACCCTAGCCTCCTCCACCGACTTCCTGCCTCACACAACCAACAAGATCAATGGAGAGACAACAAATATTTTGATCACTTTTGGCATCGGAGCTAAAAATACAACAAGCAAGGGGTGGTGGGGGGGTAATACAACAGGGGTGTTGGGGTGGTAATACAATAGCGGTGTTGGGAGGGTAATACAACGGGGGTGTTGGGAGGGTAATACGACAGGGGTGTTGGGATGGTAATACGACAGGGGTGTTGGGATGGTAATACGACAGGGGTGTTGGGATGGTAATACGACAGGGGTGTTGGGATGGTAATACAATGGGGGTGTTGGGAGGGTAATACGACAGGGGTGTTGGGATGGTAATACGACAGGGGTGTTGGGATGGTAATACAATGGGGGTGTTGGGAGGGTAATACAGTGGGGGTGTTGGAAGGGTAATACAATGGGGGTGTTGGGAGGGTAATACAACAGGGGTGTTGGGGTGGTAATACAACAGGGGTGTTGGGATGGTAATACAAAGGGGGTGTTGGGATGGTAATACAAAGGGGGTGTTGGGATGGTAATACAAAGGGGGTGTTGGGATGGTAATACAAAGGGGGTGTTGGGATGGTAATACAAAGGGGGTGTTGGGATGGTAATACAAAGGGGGTGTTGGGATGGTAATACAAAGGGGGTGTTGGGATGGTAATACAAAGGGGGTGTTGGGATGGTAATACAAAGGGGGTGTTGGGATGGTAATACAAAGGGGGTGTTGGGATGGTAATACAAAGGGGGTGTTGGGATGGTAATACAAAGGGGGTGTTGGGATGGTAATACAAAGGGGGTGTTGGGATGGTAATACAAAGGGGGTGTTGGGATGGTAATACAAAGGGGGTGTTGGGATGGTAATACAAAGGGGGTGTTGGGATGGTAATACAAAGGGGGTGTTGGGATGGTAATACAAAGGGGGTGTTGGGATGGTAATACAAAGGGGGTGTTGGGATGGTAATACAAAGGGGGTTTTGGGAGGGTAATACAAAGGGGGTGTTGGGAGGGTAATACAAAGGGGGTGTTGGGAGGGTAATACAAAGGGGGTGTTGGGAGGGTAATACAACAGGGGTGTTGTGAAGGAAATACAACAGGGGTGTTGGGAAGGAAATACAACAGAGGGGTTTAGGAAGGAAATACAACAGGGGTTTAGGAAGGAAATACAACAGGGGTTTAGGAAGGAAATACAACAAGGGTGTTGTGAAGGAAATACAACATGGGTGTTGGGTGGAAATATAATACAACGAGCAACACATTACACACACGATGAAGGAAGGGAAGACATAAAGACACGAGAGAAAGACAGGGAAGGAAGAGCTACAATAGCAGAAGCCATCTAAATGCAGACGGGTATTGTGGCGCCTCTGGAACTGTTGCTACAATCTTAAAAATCTCCCAGGCTAATGGCGTTATTTAAATTCAAGAGCTCCAGCCTGCCCCAGGCACGTCCCCTGCACGTCTGTTTGTGCAGTGCTCACCCACAGGTTTACACTGGCACAGCACACGTGACCTTTTATTTAAATGGGAGATGGCATTTACATTTTAAAACAGGTGACAATAAGGATACAATCTTCCAGAGGGGCGGGAGAATAGTTCTTGATGGCGAATAGTTAGGGAAGAGGTAGGGAATCAATGGGACTAAGAGGTAAAGATTCAATAGTACAAAGAGGTAAAGATTCAATAGTACAAAGAGGTAAAGATTCAATAGTACAAAGAGGTAAAGATTCAATAGTAAAAGAGGTAAAGATTCAATAGTACAAAGAGGTAAAGATTCAATAGGACAAAGAGGTAAAGATTCAATAGGACAAAGAGGTAAAGATTCAATAGGACAAAGAGGTAAAGATTCAATAGTACAAAGAGGTAAAGATTCAATAGGACAAAGAGGTAAAGATTCAATAGTACAAAGTGGTAAAGATTCAATAGTACAAAGTGGTAAAGATTCAATAGTACAAAGTGGTAAAGATTCAATAGTACAAAGTGGTAAAGATTCAATAGTACAAAGAGGTAAAGATTCAACAGGACAAAGTGGTAAAGATTCAATAGTACAAAATGATAGGGATTGAGAAGGACATAAATGTAGGGATACAGTAGGACAAAGGATAGGGATTGAGTAGGACTTAGAGGTAGGGATACAGTAGGACAAAGAGATAGGGATTGAGCAGGACATATACGTAGGGATACAGTAGGACAAAGAGCGAGGGATTGAGTAGGACTTAGTGGTAGGGGTACAGTAGGACAGTTTTAAAGCTTCAATACCAATACACACAAATTCTGTGGTGGAGATATACATTGTTGTATTTATACAACGGGAAAGTAAAATTTTGTAAATATTAAAACCACGTGAAGACTGGAATATGAACTTTTATTTCCAGAACTTCTTACTTGATGGGTAAACAAGGGTGATGTGTCAATACATAGGAGACTGCAGAAGGAATAAAAAAAGCTGGGCCTGTTAATGCCGTAATAAGAACTGTCCAATTTATCAGCGCCTCACCATATGCAGCCTCCCACAGATGTTGTAAGGACGGGCTTGGAGAGTCCAGGCACGAACTACCGGACACAATTACAATTAACGCCATCTTTTCTATGCAGGGTACACGCTGCTGCAGTTTCTAGTGCACCCTTCAGGGACGGGGCAATTAAGGACTGGGGGTGGGGGAGGGTTAGCGTTGAGGGTTATTTTTTTGGGGGGGGGGAGAGGGTTTGTGGTGAGGGTTATTTTGGGAGAGGGTTTGTGCTCAGGGTTAGTTTGGGGGAGGGTTTGTGTTGAGGGTTATTTTGGGGGAGAGTTTGTTTTGAGGGTTATTTAGGGGGGAGGGTTTGTGTTAGGTGCTATTTTGGGATGTATGATGGAACGAGGAGAGAGGGAGGTAAATGTAGGCGATAGGGTGTAAAGAATCCTCTTTAAACCTAACGATCCATTGGGCCGATGAAGTAGAATCCATGTTTCTTGACCTCGGCATATGAAGGGAAGGTGTGGTCAGCACTTTTCCCAGTCGCCTTTTCTTTCCCTAACATGAGTAAGATACTCATCAGAGTTGGATGGACTCAGGGGCGCTCCATTGACATGGACCCGGATTTAAACTCGAAACTTTCTGGTTAGAAGCATATAACTCTACCGCTTAGGCCACGACGTTCCTAGACTAAAATATAGGTAACAGGAAAAGGTATTGTTGTTGAGAACAAGGAAGTAGGTAATTAGGTAATAACGTGAGAAGTCAGAAGAATTGTGCAGAAAACAGCCATTTGATTATAAGGATGGATGTTGAATAGACAGTTTTATTTCAAGAAACTACGAGCTAAATGACGAACTCATGTTGTTGAAGTGAAAGCTTAGATAGTACACCATTAAGATTAGGTTTAGAGAAATACCTATCTTTTGTTTAAGCATGAGACTTACTTTTTTTTTTATTATACCGGACCTATTCAAATGCACGTCTAAGAGGTTTTAATAGTGTTATGTTGATAGTTGTAAACTATCAGATATCGTCAACAAATGTATCAGAATATGGACAACACTAGTCATTAAAGGTGACATTAATTTTATAAATCAACAATACTGGGCGTCCATGACTTTACTAATAAATACATATTCAGTTTATTATCCTGCTAGCTTGCGTTTAAAAATACAAACTTCCCACTCTTTAAACTTGATAAAATGTTATGAAGGAACAAAACAAAAAGTTCAGAGGTCTATGTTAAAATCCTACTCAGAGAAAAGAAATCACAAGTAGAGTTTAGTAAGCTATTTGGGCTAACAGAAGCCAATGTTAAATGTATATTTCAGTTAAAGTCAGGTATTGGTTCGGCAAAGTCCCAATGCAAAACATGTATATATTATTAAACTTTGAATGTAAAGACCGAGTTAGTGAACTGATTAGTTCGGCTAAGTCCCAATACAAAACATGTAGATTTTATTAAAGAAAGAATACAATGACTGATTAGTGAACTGGTGGAACTTACTGTTGGCCAGTCTGGGACAGTTGAGACGGAAGAAGTGGTTGTTGCCCCACAGGAGGCGGTCACCGTGACGGACACGCCGCTTCTCGTGGATGACCGAACCGTTGACACACGTTCTGTGGAGCAGGGAAGTTAACACGCTGAGTGGATCAGTTGAACGTTACACCCTAATAACCCAGATACACACACGAGCAAACACACTCATGGGACAACTTGAATCCTACACCCTAATAACACAGATACACACGAGCTAACACACTCAAGGAACAACATGAATGCTACACACTCATAACACAGATAAACACACTCAAGGAACAACATGAATGCTACACACTAATAACACAGAGATAAACACGCTCATGTCACATGTTTACATGAACACATTTAAAAAAAAGATACAATTATGAGTTGTTACCCGTTACTACGGGCATAGTGCTGACCACACTATCCCTTAATGTGCCGAGGTCAAGAAACATATGAACTCTACTCTCAATAACAACACCACACAAAATATCCACATATGCTGGTGGTAACCTTGGCTAGCAAATTGTATGCTGATATAAAAAAGTATACACACTCCAAGGTTGATATAAATCTGTCTATCAAATATCTATAGGACGGCGTGGAAGGGTGGTAGAGCGCTAAACCGCTAGCCTGAAAATCTCTAGTTCGGACCTAGGTACGTGACTGCATGACGTACTTAAGTCCACCCAACAAAGATGGGTACCTGACTCATGTTGAGGAAGTAAAGGTGAATGGACATAGCGCTGACCAGACCAGCCCTTCATATACTCAGGCTTACATAGTACCCAGTTTGTAACACTAAGATAGTTAACAGACACACCATAGAGACTTAGGGGTATAAAGAGGATGGCTGTTTATCAAAATCTATATATTCAGTGTTGCAATGAATACCCACCAACCACATCTTAAAATCTCCAACCCAATCATAGGTGCTACAATGGTGTGAGTCTAGATGAAGCGTTAAAGTCCACCAAAACCATCTATGAGTGTTACACTGAGTCCAACAAAATAACTTCCAATAATGTGATGCGGTCTATTGAAAAACCAACCCATTAAAACCACAGTAGTTGTACGATGGTGAAGGGCGGAAGTGGTAAGACTAGACCAGTGCATGACGTGTTCTATATCGTTAGTGGACGAACACTAATCTCAGACTGGCGTGTGATGCAGCCTAATGTATTAGTTCGAGAGGAACTACTTTCTTTCATCCAGCCCATAATTCAGGGTGTTTATTTCAATAGAGCGAGGGATGTGATCAATACAAGCAACAGGAAAGCATAAAACTACTAGTAAACCTAAAACAGGGGGTGGGGTGGCGATGACGACGGGTCAACAATTTAAAAAAAAAAACAACAAAAAAAAAAACGGAAACAAGACCAATAAATTAACAATTTTACAATAACATGGCTTATAACTTAATTCTACAAGGCCGATAACTTAATTCTACAATAAAAAGGCCGATAACTTCACAACTCGCCAATAACAGGGCCGATAACTTGACAATTCTACAACAACAGGACCGATAACTTGACAATTCTACAACAACAAGACCGATAACTTGACAATTCTACAACAACAGGACCGATAACTTGACAATTCTACAACAACAGGACCGATAACTTGACAAATCTACATTAACAAGGCCGATAACTTAACAATTGTACAATAACACGGCCGATAACTTAACAATTCGCCAATAACAAGGCCGATAACTTAATTCTACAATAACAAGGCCGATAACTTAATTCTACAATAACAGGGCCAGTGAGTTAAGAAATCTACACTGGACCAGGGCCGACAACTAAGCGAGAAAAACCTGTGACCTCATCACCCTCCCCACGACAAACATCCGATGAGAAAACAGACACGTTTTATTGTCTAACAGCAGGGGCGACAACACGACAGCCGGTGACGTATGATGGGCTCGACCGTTTCGGTTATCGGCCCTGGGCATCTTCTCGTACACTAGGGCTAAACGATGTCGTTCATTAAACACATTGTGCTAGTGACGGTGGTGGTAATACCATGTGATAAAGTAACGTAACTGCTTGTCTATTCACGAAGCTACTGCCCTATTATGCTTTAAGACCCTAGGTAATGTTGAGTTTTCTCTGTATAAATGAGCTTTATTTTTCAGAGGTTTGAAGCAACTGCCATAGTGTGGCCTTAACACAACAAACGAAAGCATCGCCGTACCTAGAACACTCAACACTTCATGATAGGGCGTTCAGATGTATACAAACTAAAATTGTTCAAGCTCAATGGCAATTGAGAGAATTGTGTTGCCATCTATTGGTTTTATGCATGTATTGTTTCTGTTGTAGATGAAACTCTTAAGAAGACATACAAAAGTAATAAAACTAACAATACAATACCCTTGACTTAACTAGACGATGTCGCAAAAACCAGTTCATGTTTTAACTTAAGTGGTCACTGACCACTACAGAGTACGCCACTAAAGTCTTTGTGACAGAACTACCTACCTAAAGACGTCACAGAACTACCCACAAACGACACGACACAGAATCATCAAACAAATGAGGTCACAGAACCACCAAACATACGACATCACAGCACCACCAAACAAACGACGTCACACAACCACCTACAAACGACGTCACAGCACCACCTACAAACGACGTCACAGCACCACCTACAAACGACGTTACAGCACCACCTACAAACGACGTTACAGCACCACCTACAAACGACGTTACAGCACCACCTACAAACGACGTTACAGCACCACCTACAAACGACGTCACAGAACCACCTACAAACGACGTCACAGAACCACCTACAAATGAGGTCACAGAACCACCAAACATACGACGTCACAGCACCACCTACAAACGACATCACACAACCACCTACAAAATGATGTGACACAACCACCTACAAACGACGTCACACCACCACCTACAAAATGACGTGACACAAACACCTACAAACGACGCCACAGCACCACCTACAAACGACGTTACAGCACCACCTACAAACGACGTTACAGCACCACCTACAAACGACGTTACAGCACCACCTACAAACGACGTTACAGCACCACCTACAAACGACGTTACAGCACCACCTACAAACGACGTCACAGCACCACCTACAAACGACGTTACAGCACCACCTACAAACGACGTTACAGCACCACCTACAAACGACGTTACAGCACCACCTACAAACGACGTTACAGCACCACCTACAAACGACGTCACAGCACCACCTACAAACGACGTTACAGCACCACCTACAAACGACGTTACAGCACCACCTACAAACGACGTTACAGCACCACCTACAAACGACGTTACAGCACCACCTACAAACGACGCCACAGCACCACCTACAAACGACGTCACAGCACCACCTACAAACGACGTCACAGAACCACCTAAAAACGACGTACAGCAGCACCACCTACAAACGATGTTACAGCAGCACCTACAAACAACACGACACAACGTACCTGGCCCCATCCAGTGGTGTGACGTAGACGTCGTTGTTCTCCATGTCGACGACAGCATGTTCAGGCTGGATGCCCAGCCCACTGAGCTGGATGTCCTGCTGTGTTGGTGCATCAGGCCGGCCCACCAGAGTGTGATCCTGTTGATCAGACAAACAGACAGACATCAGGTATAATAACTGGATAACTTAGTAGGCTGTAACTAGTACTAACTAGACAAGAGAGATAACCGAAGAAACAACGAACAGAAAACTAGACAAGAGGAGAGTCAAGAGAAATAGGTAGCATGATAACATTATTTTTGAGATTCAAACGTCTTTTTTTTCTTGTTTATGCATATCGCCCGACAGGCTTTGCTGTTAGTACGAAATAAAATGTTAGCAATGTAATAATATGTGTAATACGACGCATAGATTTCAATAACTTTAGATTTGAATACAATGTTTATTATTTGAAACACTTTATTCCTTTTTGATACACAATATTTTGTTTGACTGTGAATCAATGTGGTCACAACTAACAACTTCCTACAGACTAAACTGCTAAACCTAAGGCAAGAACAAACTCAAACGTGAACCGCCCATATTCAATACCCATCTATCCAGGCCAACCATCAAAACAACACCCATCTACCCTGGCCAACCATCAAAACAACACCCATCTACCCTGACCAACCATCAAAACAACACCCATCCATCCAAGCACAAATACCCTCCCAATATTAGCTCTAACTCTTTATGCCAAGTAAAAAAAAAAAGAAAAAAAAACAACAACAAAAGAAATGGAAATAATCAAGTTTAAAAAGGTGGTAGTGGTGGCAACAAATCCCTGTAATAGTGCACCGATGTCCGGTATGTTGTGATCACAACTCTCAACTCCAAATACGCGCGTGTGTGTGTATATGTGTGCGTGTGAGTATGTGTGTCGACATAGCCATTCGTCATAATCGAATCTAATTCCTAACACTAGAACATCCACGGCACCAATCATTAACCTCTGATCGCACGAAATGGCAGACACTACATCATTTGTGTTGAGAAAAATATAAAAATATAACCTCTAAGACTTATGATCACCGTAGTTTTAAACCAAAACTTTACAAAACATGGACGTGACTACCTAGAAGGTTGGTGCTGACCGGTGTTGAAAGGGGTCATAAACAGGGGTCTTACAACCCCTATAAATAACGGGACCGGAGCACTTTCTGAAAGGCGCACGTCAGGGAAGGGGTGGGGTGAAGACTAACGACCCCCACTTGATGCTGGGAATTACAAGGGGAGGGGCACAGAGATGGGGGGGGGGGTTGTCGCTGATCACGGCATTCATGGAAGAAAACGTCATTGGTTGGTTGGTGGACAACAGTGTGTATTGGTTCCAGGACAATTTGGGACATCAGTACAGCTCGTGTGTGTGTGTGTGTGAGTGTGTGTGTAGGAGGGTGTGTGTGGGTGTTAGTGTGAGGGTGCTGAACAATATTGTGTATCAAACTGGTTCCAGGACAATTTGGGACGACAGGACAGTTCGTGTGTGTGAGGGTGTGTGTGGGAGGGGGATGTTTGTGTGAGGATGCTGGACAACATTGTGAATCAAACTGGTTCCAGGACAATTTAGGACGACAGTACGGCTCATGTGTGTGAGTGTGAGGGTATGTGTGTGAGAGAGAAACAGAGATAAAGTGCGAGAGAGGACAATATGAGAACAGCAGTGTCCACCGGCTTCAAATATTTAAGAAAACAAAAACTTAAAATATTCCTAAAAATATCGAGAAAAAATGTCGTCCACATGTTATCGTCAGAAAAGATGACACCAACAATCAAGACATCGGACGTGTATTGAATTAGATGAATATTAGAAAGGTTAATGCCCTATAGAAAGGCCAGTTTAGGGTGACATCGTGTGTGTGTGTGTATGTATGTGTGTATGTGTGTGTGTGGGAGAGAGGGGTGGGGTTAAAAAAACAAATTCAAGCCATATAAACCCGAATGTAGCATCTCTAGGCTCTCGGCAGCGCCTCAGCATCTGTGAGCAGACACTCACAGCTAGGGTGCCGACCAATGGGTATCTACATCCTAGTCACGTGGGGCGGAATGGGTCGGATAAAAACCTCGAGTGATTGAAACAACTGATTGTTTAAAACAATCACCATCTTGTCAATGTTTAAAACAATCACCATCTTGCCAATGTTTAAAACAATCACCGTCTTGCCAATGTTTAAAACAATCACCGTCTTGCCAATGTTTAAAACAATCACCGTCTTGCCAATGTTTAAAACAATCACCGTCTTGCCAATGTTTAAAACAATCACCGTCTTGCCAATGTTTAAAACAATCACCGTCTTGCCAATGTTTAAAACAATCACCGTCTTGCCAATGTTTAAAACAATCACCGTCTTGCCAATGTTTAAAACAATCACCATCTTGTCAATGTTTAAAACAATCACCGTCTTGCCAATGTTTAAAACAATCACCGTCTTGCCAATGTTTAAAACAATCACCGTCTTGCCAATGTTTAAAACAATCACCGTCTTGCCAATGTTTAAAACAATCACCGTCTTGCCAATGTTTAAAACAATCACCGTCTTGCCAATGTTTAAAACAATCACCGTCTTGCCAATGTTTAAAACAATCACCGTCTTGCCAATGTTTAAAACAATCACCGTCTTGCCAATGTTTAAAACAATCACCGTCTTGCCAATGTTTAAAACAATCACCGTCTTGCCAATGTTTAAAACAATCACCACCTTGCCAATGTTTAAAACAATCACCGTCTTGCCAATGTTTAAAACAATCACCGTCTTGCCAATGTTTAAAACAATCACCGTCTTGCCAATGTTTAAAACAATCACCGTCTTGCCAATGTTTAAAACAATCACCGTCTTGCCAATGTTTAAAACAATCACCGTCTTGCCACCACTAAATAATAAACTAACCTCGACGACATAACAATAGGCCACCATGGGACTGGACGTCTCCCCACACATTCAACTAATTACAAGACCGACATTAGTCGAGACAGACGCTGCCAGCCTACTGATGGAATGTCGATTTTTAACAATGGATATTAGGCAATCGATACATATAGACAATAATTTGAAACGGTCGTAACTAATCAAAGCCGTTATATAAAACCTTCCATCATTAAAGATAAGTAAATATATAGGTAAATACAATATACAAGTATATATATATATATATATATATATATATATATATATATATATATATATATATATATATATATATATATATATATATATATATATATATATATATATATATATATATATATATATATATATATATATATATATATATATATATATATATATACATATATATATACATATATATATATATATATATATATATACATATATATATACATATATATATATATATATATATATATATATATATATATATATATGTATATATATATATATATATATATATATATATATATATATATATATACACATACATATATATGTATGTAGGCCTATGTATGTATGTATGTATGTATGTATGTATGTATGTATGTATGTATGTATGTATGTATGTATGTATGTATGTATGCATCCACATGCTACCGCTACATTTTTTTTACATTTTTCCTATTGATTACCTACTTGAGGCAAGAATAACGCAAGTCACACATCAATTTACCTTTGATCTAGCGCGCTACAACTTCCCCTCCCACTTTATGACTTGATTTAGTCCCACAAATACCCCATTAACTCCGCAGTTGCCGCCGCCTCTGAAATATTTCTTCCCTTTCCAAACCAGTTGTTCCCAAACAAGAATAGGGATATTTTTCGCATCCATCCACTGCCATTTCGGCTTTCATCTTCCAATCGTTCACGGCTAATGTACGACGAAAAGCGAAACGAGGGAGCGAGGAATGAAAGTAACCGTTTCAATTATAAAAACGAGCGAAAAAAGATGAACTCGATGCAAATATCTTGGCTTTCAGTGGAGCCAAGGGACAGAACTGTTTATGCACGTCAGGGGTGATTACTCTTGTAGAAGATAGCCCGCTGGGAGCCGACCGTTGAATATTATGCAAGCTGGGGGTCCTCACTGTGTTCTTAAACACTGGCGCAATCAAGGGGGTCTTGTGAATTGATTGGGGATTGTTAAGGTGTTTGTAATACAGGCTACACCGCTGGACAATTTCAGATGCAGGGTTTTATGGACAGAAATAAGCTGACGGCTTTAGTAGAAACTACGGGAGATGTATTTTTAAAGAAAGCTATATATAATTGGGCAATTGTGTTTGGTACAATGGAATTATCGAACACATTTTATTTGGGTTGAGCTAAACACAGAATAAGAAAACAACATAACAGAGAGTGGTACTAAGACGAGAAAACGGCAAGGCAAATGTGATATTTTTAGCTTGATAAAGAGGTGGATACAGAAATAGTCGGCTAAATCTTCTATTTTCAATCATTCAAAATTTTTATTTTCAAACAAGCGTTTGCTGCTAGACTTGTGGTGCTACACAGCAGTTAGTTGACGCGATAGCATTGTGATTTAACATGACTCATAATGTGACACATTCAGTGTTTCTTCTAGACTTTTTTCTCCGGTGGGGGGCACTTGAAATTTTCGGGGGGGGGGGGGGGGGCTGTAGACTTTCTTGGGGGGGGGGGGGCGGACACTGTTAAAAGTATATATTTTCTATATAAATTATATAAATTTCATTTCGTTCGGGGGGGGGGGGGGGGGGGGCGATAAATTTTTTTCGAGGGGGCTTCTCCCCCTCGAAGAGATGCCTGGAAGAAACTCTGAACACCTTCCGCATCGTGCGACAACTATCCACAATCTCATTCCCCACATTGTGACACCATCCCCATCCCTCATTCCCCATCTTACTCCACCTTCCCCTGTCATGACTAACCATCTTCCCATCCCGCCCAATACTTACAGCTACCTCAAACAACAATACTACTGTTTCCATTCAACCCTAACACAACTTTCGACTCACTACACAAAACTATTTCAAGCTTGAGCAGTGAGCACACAGAAAACACACACCTGTAATGATATCTTCAATATCGTGAAACAACCAATCAACAGACAACTGACCATATCACGACACAACCAACCAATCACATTGGACCTGACAGGCCATCGCA